GGTGTGATCCTGGATGGGAGATCTCCTGCGGAAGCTGAGGCTGCTGCTGGAAGAGGTGTTAGTGGGACCAGTAGGGGGCGCTCACCCTGCGGTCTGTGTGGGTCCTAAAGCCCCAGCACATTGACAGGGACACTATACTATAAAAAGGCGCCGTCCTTCGTATGAGATGTAAAATAGAGGGAAGTCCCCATTGCCTGTAGAGCTTTGAGTGGAGTGTCCAGAAAAGCAGTGTATAAGTGTAAGGAATTATTATATACACACTGCCGCAGCACTGCAAACGCACAATGTATTGTGCACATTTTGCAAAGCTGATGTGCTTTGGACGTTTGCAACACACATCACTGAGGAACAGGAGGCGTGCTGCCATTGATGAAGGACGTGCCGAAAAGAGCAGACTCACGGCTCTCTTTATCTCCCTCTCTGTGCCACAGGTACTATGAGACGGGCAGCATCAAGCCCGGAGTGATCGGCGGCTCGAAGCCCAAGGTGGCCACTCCGAAGGTGGTGGAGAAGATCGCGGAGTACAAGAGGCAGAACCCCACCATGTTTGCCTGGGAGATCCGGGACAGGCTGCTGGCCGAGGGAGTGTGTGACAACGACACTGTCCCCAGCGTGAGCTCCATCAACAGGTGGGCAAGCAGGGCAGCTCGCATCAACTAGTGACCACCACCGGTACCGGTGCTCTTGTCTTTCATCTCTGTAATTAAACGTTGCGCCACGAAGATGTTAAATGAATAGCCCGGCAGGCTAATTAAAGCATCACATCAGTCAGTTTAAATGTTTGCTTTTGATCTTGTTCCCTTCCTGAGAAAGGGGGCAATTGTTGCAGCCGTGGGATATGGTCCATGAATGAGGTTTTCCATGCTTTTGAAATATAATCTAGAGTGAGTGTAGATGTGGGTCGGTGGAGATGACAGTGGTGTGTGTCTGCGTGAAATGGATGGTCAGTGTGTGCGTGCCTGGGTCTGCGTGTGTGTGTGCCTGGGTCTGCGTGTGTGTGTGCCTGGGTCTG